GCATTTTTTGAGTGCAAGGCGAAAGAATTGACATACACCCAAAATTAGATGAGGGATGTCACAGCTACTGTAAAGAAACTTTTAAAATATTGTAATCTATCACAGTTGCTGGAAAAAAAATGCCAAAGCAAAGAGAGGGCATACAATTGCAGAAACTTTTGCCATTTTGCCGTATTTTCTGAGGGAAAATGAGGTCTCAGGCAAAAAAAAAAAAAAAAAAAAAAGGTTGGGAACCACTGGTGTAGATAATGGTGATGGCATGTTGCTATAAATATATACACATGAAAGTCAGGTTTTCCTCAAAAGATATGTAAATATTGGTTTCATTGTGTTCAACAGAAGAACAAAACTCAAGCAGGTTTGTAAAAAGATGAGTAAACGGTGACAGATTTTTTATTTTTGCCTGACCAAGGTCATAACAGTTTCTATAAGCTCCTTCTGGCTTCTCCGTGTGTGGTTTTCTCACTGTCCACCGTTCCCTTGACTTTCAGCATTGAACCCCTGGCCTTGATACATGCGCCATATCTTCATAACAGATTCCTCTTCTCAGTGCTCTTCCTCAGCCCATTTGAGGCTTGGGTTCAGGGTGGTTTTAGTGTAGCACAGCTGCTGGAACTGCCACACACTCCCACAACACACACACACACACACACACACACACACAACAGCAGAACAACAGCTCTCTGTCTCCCAGCTTAAACATTATTGCAGGTGCAGAGATAAGAACTGAGTCAAGACTTGAAGAATCAATCTCACTCCTTACTTGCCCTTTATATTGTGCCTCAGTTTGTGAAAGGAGGGTTTTCCTTTACAGCGGAGGATCTTTAAGATGTACTATAAGTGCTTTTGACTTAAAACTCGCACTCTGTCAGACTCCATTCATACTGCGGTTGGCCAGCGAGGTTATTGTGACCTTGAATAAATCATTCCAGTGCTAAAGGACTGGAATATTTGCGATAAGAGGGGGAGATGGCAAGGGCTATAAATGTCTTTTCAACGCACATGAGAACTAGAATGATATAATAGATTAGAAAAGCCATTTGAATGGACACTGATGGTTAATATAATGCAATTAAAGTTTTTAATGATTTTATTTTTTTTAAACTGAACAGATACACACATATTCATGGTCTCAAGCCTTAAAAAGATTGTTCACCCTAAAAGTCTGAGGATTAGATGTGATTTTTTTTCATTGATTAAATGTTTCAATTTTATTTTTCCATTTAGTCAAAACCAAAATAACAAAATTTTTTAAAATATCTTTATTTCCTAAACAGAAATGGTTCTACCAGTTTTGAATGATATGAGGGTGAATTAATGGTCCACGATTATTGGACCAAGATTTGCACTTGGGTGAATAATCTTTTAAAATTTTTCGCAAGAACAGATGTAAATCATTTGACAAAATGTAGTAGAAGGTTCCACAAGTATGGCAGTGATGTTCTTAGAACTAATAATCAAACATTTTAATAATCTTAGGTTTCACTTTCAGGTACGTGTTAAATGAATCATGGTGTTTAAGACAATACAAACATGAAACATTTTAATAATCTTGAGAACTTTTTCCTCTTTTAATAAAAAATGAAATTTGAAAGAAACAATTCAAAAACAATTCACTGAGAGCCGTGTGCTGAAGGTATTTATACCAAACTACGCTACATAAAAGTTGCCATGGGTAATTTCCAGCCCGATCTTACGAAGAAATGTAAGAATTTTATGTTTTGTCAGTTTAGTGGCTAATTCGGATAAGTTCAGTTGTACGAAAATGTACGATTTAAAAAAAGAGGTGTGGCACCAAACCCCAACTGTCACTGGGTGATGAGCAAATCGTACTAATTTGTACAAATTAGATCATACAAATTCATACAAATTAGCCACTAAATCAAAACGTTACGAATTGTCATAAGATTGCATTGGTAATTTTCAAATTTATTTCAGAATATTTCAAAATAATTAGAAAATGTTACTTTAAATTGGATTATCTAATGTTGTAAAATAAAAAAATAAATAAAAAATAAAAAAACGAGTTCAATGCTGAACACAGAGGTCAAGCAGAATCTGCCTTTGACTTGATTTGCACACTAATTTTGAATAATATGAGGGCAAATAAATGGTAAGTATATTTTATTTTGCACTTGTATAAATAATCTTTTAAAATTTTCCACATGAACAGATGTAAATCATTTGACAAAATGTAGTAGAAGGTTCCACAAGGACATAGTATGGTGATGGTGTTCTTAGAACCAACAATCAAACATTTTAATAAAAGTTTTATTTTCAGATAACAAATCATGTTGTACAAAACATGAAACATTTTGATAATCTTACAAACTTTTTCCTCTTTAAATTAATTTCATTTTGGAATAAAACAATTCATGGATGTTAAAGGGTCATGGAACCTTTATTTTTAAGTATGTGCTTTTGAAAAAAATAATTATCTACTTTTTTTTAACATATACATTTTTTGTACACTAAAGCCCAAAGTAATCTTGGTAAAACTTTACAATAAGGTTCATTAGTTAATGCATTTACTAACATAAACTAATCATAAACAACACTTATACAGCATTCATTAATCATAATTTAATATTTACTAATGCATTATTAACATCCAAGTCCATGCTTCTTAACATTAGTTAATGCACCGTGAGTTAACATGAACTAACAATGAACTACTGTATTTTCATTAACTAACATTTACTCACTATAAGAGCCATAAGTTCATTGTTTTATTTATGTTAAATTGATAATAATGTAAAAAGCAACTTGAAAATATTTTACTAAAAGTAATTTAATTTTTAATATAGAGTATATGCTGATGTCACTTCCGGTAAGGAAGAAGTAGTGTCATGAAGATGGAAGCAAGACAGTTTTTTGACCGTGTATTATAGTTCAGTTAAGTTGTTATTAAACATGTTCGAAATGACATCACTGGACTGTCTTATGTTACCCGCGTTCAAATCCTGCTAATTCAGAGAAACAAGACAAGAAGAGACGGATCGATGGCACATACAATTTAGTCAAAAAACTTGCTCTATGGATATGAAAATGAAGGAGCGCACGTGGCACGTTATGACGGACGGAGATTCATCTCTAAACTATCGTCTTTGAGTGATCTGAAATGACTCGCGATCGTGGATTATAAATAGTGGATGATATTTCTCCGGTGGATTTAAAGCTGTTTTACAGGAAGGAACGTGACTGACACGTATGAAACGTTGCATAACAGTAAGGTAACGGACTCTGATTCGGCTATATGATGACTCAATGCATATTTGAAGAAGCTGAAATGCATACGGTTGATGCAGAAAAGTATTGCGTGTACTTTTAATCGTCTGCAAACAGTTTGTGCATTGATTGAATGGAGATGGCTGAAGGAAGCGAAAGTGAAACTGCAGCTTTCGAACACAAGAGGGCGCCTAAACCTACTGAAAAGGCTTTAGAGGAGAAATTGCACAGAATTATTGGATTGAGAAGAGCTAAATTATCTGCTCTTACCAGTAATATAAAAACCCTAGAAAGGTTGATGAATGATGATGAAAATCTGCAGAATGTGCACGATTTAATGCAACTTGACTTTGCACAATTGTTAGCAGAGTTTAATGATTTAAATGTTCAAGTTCAAGATCTTTTGTCTGAAGATGAAAGGATTGCAGACCAACAAAACTGGTTTCAGCCTAAAATGGACTCTGTGAATATTTTTAGGAATAAAACAGAAAACTGGATAGCTGCTGTAGCTGAGAAAAATGAGAAAAATGACAATGTGGAAATGGAGGATGATATTATGCCTCATGACAGTGCCTCACAGGTATCTTTGAACAAAAATGAGCTTAAGCAGCGGTGTGATTCAGTTACAAGTGGATCTGTTTGCTCCTCTGTATCATCTGCATATGCACAAGAAGAATCAAAACGTGCAGCTTTGCTAGCAAGGGCAGCATCATTAAAGAAAAAACAACAACTTGTAATTGAAGAGATGCAGATAAAGGCAAAAATGGAGGAACTTGAAATAGAAACAGCGCTTGCAGAAAGTGATGCCAAATTAAAGGTTCTGAAAGAATATGAGCATTCAGAGGATGGAAAAAGTAGTGTGCGGTCAAAGAAAAGAAAAGGAATCCACCATAAACAGCTTGAACTGAAAACAGAGCAGAAAGAAAGCTCACCTTCTCATTCTACTGTGGCGAAGGATAAAGCAAAGTCTGTCTCAAGTCCAAAGATACATCCAGCAACAGAACTGAACATACAAGTACCTGGACACAATGACTATCCACAAGCAGACAACAGCATTATTCAAGTTATGCAGAAACAAAATGACTTGACTGAGTTGTTGGTGAGACAACAAAGACAAATTCAGCTTCCTAGTAAAGATATACAAGTGTTTAGAGGGGATCCATTAACCTATAGATCCTTTATCAGGTCTTTTGAGCATACCATTGAAAATAAAACAGACAATGAAAAAGACAAGTTGTATTATCTTGAACAATACACTGCAGGAGAGCCTCAAGAGATTGTCAGAAGCTGTGAATATATGCCGTTAAGCAGAGGTTTTAAAGAAGCAAAGCGACTGCTCGAAAGGCATTATGGAGACGAGCTTATTATAGCAAGAGCTTTTATTGATAAAGTTCAAAAGTGGCCTCAAATCAAGTCTGATGATGGCAAAGCCTTGAGTGCTTATGCTTTATTCCTAATTGGATGTCGCAATACATTGGAAGATGGGGAGTCCATGGAGGAGATGGACAGTCCCACCAATATGAGAGATGTAATTTCAAAATTACCATACAAAATGAAAGAAAGGTGGCGATCAGAAGCATATGACATCAAGGAAAGACAAGGAGTAAGAGCTAGATTTACTCATTTGGTGGATTTTATTGATCGTCAAGCAAAAGTGGTCACAGATCCTTTCTTTGGAGACATACTGGACAATCGCAATGCTGTAACTGCAAAGGTGAATCAGAAGGAGAAATTTCCTGCTACTAGGGGAATAATAAAGAGCAGCTTTGCAACCAACATATGCATGGAGGAAAGAAGGCCTCAAGATACATCAAGTAAACTTGCCAGTCCAGCTAAGATGGTAAGCGCTTTTGAAAAGCCATGTATGTTTTGCTCAAAAAGTCACACTCTTGAGTCATGCACTGAAATCAAAGAGCAGCCACATAGTATACGTGTGGACTTTTTGAAGTCAAAAGGCTTATGTTTTGGATGCTTAACTCGAGGTCATTTGAGTAAGATGTGCAGAAAGAGAATTGAATGTAAAGAATGCTCTCAAAGGCATCCAGACATTTTACATATGAAGGAGGATCGCAAAGTGACAAAGCAGGTTGAGACACCAGACAAAGAGATCTCATGTGCCCAGATCTCCCTAAGTCACCAATCATGCAACTACACAGAGTCTGGAGGAGATAACTGTGTGCTGTCAATAGTGCCAGTTAAAGTCAAGTCAAATAAAAGTGACAGATATGTGGAAACATATGCTTTCCTCGATGCTGGAAGTACAGCAACATTTTGCACAGAGGAGCTGCGAAATAAACTGAAACTGAAAGGAAAGCCAACTCAGATTCTATTGAGCACTATGTGTCAAGACAAGCCAGGTGAACAGAAGTTAGTGAGCAGTTTTATCCTCACCGACCTGGAAGTATGTGGGCTAGACGACACCAAGTATATTGAACTACCTAAAGTCTTTACACACAGCAATATTCCTGTTCAAAATGAGAACATTCCTAAACAGGAAGACATTCAAAAATGGCCTTACTTAAGTGAAGTGAACATACCCTGTATTGATGCAAATGTGGGGCTTCTGATTGGTGCAAACAATCCAAAGGCAATGGAACCATGGCACATTATAAACAGCCAACAAGATGGACCATACGCTGTTAAAACTGCACTAGGTTGGGTAGTAAATGGCACCATTAAGAAAACAAACAATGCAGAAAGGTCCAAACTGCCACATCATACAGTTAATCGTCTCTCAGTAGTGGAAATCGAAAAATTGTTGATTCAGCAATATAACTCAGACTTTCCAGAACGCCTGTATGAGGAGAAAGAGGAGAAGTCACTGGAGGACAAAAGATTCATGCAGTTAATGCAGGAAAAGACTAAATTTGAGAATGGACATTACTGTGTGAAGCTACCCTTGAGAGATGAAACAGTTGACATGCCAAACAATCGATGTGTTGCTGAAATACGTGCAGCTAACCTAAAAAGAAAGCTTCAAAAGAACTCAGAATTGCTTGATGACTACACTACGTTCATGAAGAGCATAGTAGAAAAAGGATATGCTGTCAGAGTTCCCACTGAACATCTTAATCGCAACGACAACAAGGTGTGGTACATTCCACACCATGGGGTGTATCACCCGAAGAAAAACAAAATTCGTGTGGTTTTTGATTGTACTGCTTCCTTTCAAGGTATGTCTCTGAACAGCCAATTGCTTCAAGGTCCAAACCTCACAAACACACTTATTGGTGTACTCACCAGATTTAGAGAAGAACCGATCGCTGTGATGGCAGATGTGTAGTCAATGTTCTATCAGGTGAAAGTTCCTGAGGAAGACACAGATCTACTTCGCTTTCTTTGGTGGCCAGATGGCAATTTGAATGCACCTATAGAGGAATACAGAATGACAGTGCACTTATTTGGTGCCACCTCATCTCCTAGCTGTGCCTCTTATGCACTGAGAAAGACAGCAGAGGACAGAAAACATGTAGCATCGCAAAAGGCTGTGGACACAGTTCTGAACAATTTCTACGTGGATGACTGTTTAAAATCAGTGTCCAATGAGCAAGAAGCAATCAACCTTGTCAAGGAAATTCAAGATTTGTGTCTGGAAGGAGGTTTTCGATTGACGAAGTGGGTGAGCAATAATAGGAAAGTATTGTTGTCTATCCCAGAAGATCAAAGGGCCAGTGGAGTAAAAGACCTTGACTTGGATCAGGACTCTTTGCCTATAGAGAGAGCACTGGGTATGCAGTGGTGCACAGATGATGACACCTTCACATACCATATCAAAGTCCAAGAGAAGCCGTCGAGTAGAAGAGGTATCCTCTCAGTGGTTAATTCAATCTATGATCCTCTTGGCTTTCTGGCTCCACTCATACTACCAGTTAAGTTACTTTTAAGAGATCTGTGCAAACAAGGATATGGCTGGGATGATGAGATTGACGACAAGCGTGCTGATCAGTGGGTTAAATGGCTAGAAGATTTAAGTCAGATCTCAAATGTCAAGTTCAAAAGGTGTCTAAAGCCAGAGAAGTTTGGCATCACAGAAGAAGCTCAACTGCATCATTTCTCTGATGCCAGTGAGAGTGCTTATGGCACAGCAACTTATCTGGTTCTTACAAATGAACAAAATCAGAAATATTGCTCATTGTTGATGGGGAAGTCAAGAGTAAGCCCACTTAAACAAATCACAATTCCTAGATTGGAACTGACCGCCGCAACCATAGCAGTCAAAATGGACAAGATACTAAAACAAGAACTACAAATGCCACTGCAGCCATCTATTTTTTGGACAGACAGCACAACGGTGCTGAGTTACATTGAAAATGAGAGCGCCCGCTTCAAAACCTTTGTAGCCAACAGGATTTCACTAATACGGGATGCCACCACTCCGTTACAGTGGAAGTTTGTCAGGTCAGCTCAGAATCCAGCAGATCAAGCTACTAGAGGTATTAAGGCAAAGGACTTTCTACAAGCAGAAACATGGACAAAGGGCCCAAACTTTTTGTTGAAATCAGAAGAAGAATGGCCACAAAGACCAGATCAGATTAATCAATATCAACAAAAAGACCCTGAAATTAAAATTGAAACCAAAGTCAACATTCTTAATGTCAATGAAAACGACATCCTGTGCAGGTTAACTGACTACTACTCGAGCTGGTTTCGTCTGAAAAGGGCAGTGGCATGGATGCTAAGACTAAAAGAGACACTCCTACAGTTATGTAGGGCAAGGAAACAGTTTCAGGCGTCTATTGAAACATCTGAGAAAGACCCAGAAAAACAAGCATCCCTTCTACAAACTGAAATGCAAAAATTCAAATCAAAAATAAAGAAAAGGTCACTGAGTCTGGAAGATTTAAAACAAGCAGAAATTCTTCTTATTCAGCACAGTCAGAAACAACAATTCCTGGAAGAAATTGAGGCTATCAAACAAAATGTGACTATTAAGAGAAGAAGTCAGCTGTACAGGCTTGACCCTGTGCTCCAGGATGGGATCCTAAGAGTGGGTGGTAGACTTAACAAAGCAGCCATGCCAAATGAATCCAAGCATCCTGCAATTCTGTCAAAATACTCCAGAATTTCAACACTCATTTTAAGTGACATTCATCAAAGATACGGACATTGTGGTCGAAACTACACATTGTCCATTCTCAGACAAAAATTCTGGATTCCCCAAGCTAATTCAGCCATTCGAAAATTAATACATAAATGCTCAGTTTGTCGCCGGCTTAATGGAAGAGTTGGAGAACAGAAAATGGCAAGTTTGCCAGAGGACCGTCTGCTACCTGATAAACCGCCCTTTACAAACGTGGGTGTTGATTACTTCGGACCCTTTGAAGTGAAACGGGGCCGGAGTACTGTAAAAAGGTACGGAGTGTTGTTCACTTGCTTAACGATTAGAGCAGTTCACATTGAGGTGGCTGATAGTTTGGACACTGACTCTTGCATTAACGCTTTAAGGCGTTTTATAAGTAGAAGAGGACAAGTCGCTGTCATGCGCTCAGATAACGGCACAAATTTTGTTGGTGCAGAAAGAGAGTTGCGAGAAGCACTGAAAAATCTGAACCAAATCACAATAGAACAAGCCATGTTGCAGAAAAACATTAAATGGATCTTCAACAGCCCAGCTGCCTCCCATCAGGGAGGAGTTTGGGAGCGTCAGATCCGTACAGTTAGAAGGATACTTAATGCTCTCCTAAAGGAACAATCTATCAGCGATGACAGTCTTCATACCATCATGTGTGAGGTGGAAAGCATTATAAACAACAGGCCAATAACTACCACATCCGAGGATCCGAATGACCTTGAGCCTCTGACACCTAACCATTTACTACTGTTAAAAACTCAACCCAGCATGCCACCAGGCATCTTCAAAAAAGAAGACCAGTATATGAAAAGACGTTGGAGACAAGTCCAATATCTTGCTGATTTGTTTTGGAGCAGATGGACTCATGAGTATCTGCCCATTCTTCAAGAACGCAGTAAATGGACAAAACTTAAAAGGAACTTTGAGCCAGGCGATGTAGTGCTAATTGTGGACAGTTCTGCTCCCCGCAATTCATGGATAATGGGAAAAGTAGTTCAAACCTTGCCTGACTCCAGTGGAGCTGTACGCCGTGTGAAGCTACAAACCAAAACAAGCATTCTAGAGAGACCTGTAAACAAATTGTGCTTAATTCAAGAAGCAATTTAAGAAGAATAGGTGAAACAAAGACAATGTGAAAGGACTACATTTACAGAATGACTGAATTTCTATGCTTCTTGATGATGTTTAAATTTGAATGGCTCTTAGAAGTTAAATATGTATATGATAATTGTTTGATCTCCTGTCCATACAATTAGGGGCCGGATATATAAGAGCCATAAGTTCATTGTTTTATTTATGTTAAATTGATAATAATGTAAAAAGCAACTTGAAAATATTTTACTAAAAGTAATTTAATTTTTAATATAGAGTATATGCTGATGTCACTTCCGGTAAGGAAGAAGTAGTGTCATGAAGATGGAAGCAAGACAGTTTTTTGACCGTGTATTATAGTTCAGTTAAGTTGTTATTAAACATGTTCGAAATGACATCACTGGACTGTCTTATGTTACCCGCGTTCAAATCCTGCTAATTCAGAGAAACAAGACAAGAAGAGACGGATCGATGGCACATACACTCACATTAATAAATATTGTAGTAAATGTATTGTTCATTGTTTGTTCGTGTTAGTAAATGCATTAATTAACATTAACTAATTAACCTTATTGTAAAGTATTGCAATCTTTAGTTTCTTTACACGCTTGTTGGTCCATAGCATGTAAATTGCATGATGCAAATTTTGTCATGTGTACTCGTATTTTTTGGCATTTTCCTTTTTAAAATTGATTCTGCACTATGTAGTTTTTCCACAGGATGCAAACACAGTGTTTCAAGCATTTTCAATCATTTAAATATAGGTCTCAAACTCAATTCCTGGAGGGCAGCAGCTCTGCACAGAGTTTTGCGCCAACCCTAATCAAACAGCTGATCCAATTAATGAAGGTGTTCAAAAGTAGTCTTGACCAGGTTGTGTTGGAGCAAAGCTGTGCAAAGCTGTGCAAAGCTGCGTCCCGCCATAAATCAAGTTTGAGACCTATATTAAAATAATCTAACTGATTACATTAGGATTACTTTTCATAATGGAAAAACAGAAAGTTTTCAAGTATTAATCATTTTCAAACATTTGGTTACCGCACTTTCAATTTACTGTCAGACTTTCAAAAATGATTCATCACTTGAATTAAAATTAGAATCAAATTTGTACAACACAGACAACACCATTTTTTTCCCTTTAAGATTATTCTGTTTAAGGGGTTAGTCACCAACAACTGCCATTCTAAACACCTGAGACTTTGATTAATCTTCCGAAGGTATTTTCAATAAAATCCGAGAGCTCCCTCTTCCTGTATGCACAGCAAAGGTCCTGAGACATTTAAAGTCCAGAAAAGGAAGCAAAAACAATACATTCCAACTGACTGTAATCCACATTCTAACTACACTGTAAAAATATGAAGAGAGAATTATGAGTAGGGCTGGAGGTCATCGCGCACACCCTGTCAAACACCACCAAACCACCACCCCCGACAGTTAAGCGGGACTCTGCAAAATAAACCGTGAAACTCTGACCAATGTGAGGAGAGTTTACTCACACATGACTTGTTTCAGTATTTTGGTCCGTTTAGAAACTTTGCAGTGTGAAAGCAAACTGCACCAAGAACAAAGAGCAACACTGTAACAATTTTAATCCCTGTTTCGTAACAAATGAATCGATTCACAGGTGTGAAAGCACCTTAAGTCAACGGAACTAGTGGCGCCCCTAGAAAATTTTCTTAGGAGTGGCCAGATGAGGCCACACCAAATCTTGAGACGCACACAACAAAATAATGTGTAGTGAATAATGAGTAATGTTACATACTTTTTTCTGGTAAATAAAATAATGTAGTTTAAATAATTATTCTTAAAATATTGCAATTTATTTCTTGAAATTAATCAGCATGAGTACACGTGCAAACCAAATAAAAAACAAATATTTAATTTAAAAACACTTTTCAGGTCAGTTATTTTTCAGATACCTTTAGTGTACAGCATACAGTATATCCCATGTCTAATTAAATGAACATTAATGGATTAATTAAAAAAACTGACAAATGAACAAACTGAAGGAAACGCATTAACCATATACACACACAGACTCACTACAGACCATAATAATATCGTTTATCCTTGTTCCTATTCAAGTGTCATTAATATTAATATGTCTTCTGTCGATGTACCTTTTTGCAAAATATATCCTCAAAATCATTGACATTTTTGGCCCTTTTAAGTCAAACAGCAAAATATTAAAGGTGCTAAATAAACTAGATTCAGTGGATTTCAAAACTTTTTGGTATTTGTGGTTTTCAATCAGAAAAACAACAACTTTTTAATAAAAAAATAATAATTTCTTAATAAATAATGTACAAGGTCTGTGAATCGGCTATGCTGGTGGCACTGATCAATTCACAATAATTTAGGGGCTTCATTTTATTTCTTTATTAATTAATTAATTTATTGAAATATTGTTAATTTACGTAAGTACATTTAAATTGATAATATCAACAGCAAAATCACATTGGGGTGGCTCTTTGGGGGTGCCCCTGAATGGAACTAATTTAAGTAGATTGAACATAAAACAACAATTTTTAAAATTTTTTGAAATCTCAAGAATTGTGTTGTCTGAGCTTTTTTTTAAATTAGTAGTTTAAACAAGAATTAATAATGAAATGTTTTGAGTGTACTATAAAAACATCTTTGCCAATGTCTTCTCTTCCTCGTCAGGCGGTGTGGTACTAAAGGCAGTATGAGGTATTACCATTAAAGTCAGCAGCTGAACACGCAAACAGCATACTGCCAGTAGTAAATGTGCACCATGATCTGAGATCGAAGATATAAACAAAGTTGTTTCCACAGACTTTTTTTGGTGCATAAAACTGTTCTTGCAGCTTCATATGATTACAGTTTACTGTAAAACTCCTGAAGTCACATGGAATGGTTTGACAATGTCTTTGATTTCTTTTCTGGATTTTAAAACATCTCAGGATAGTTGCTGTCTGTAGAAAATAAGAGAGCTCTCAGATTTTATCTTAAATGTATCAATTTGTATTCCGAAGATGAACCTAATTATGCTCATTTTTGGGTGAACTAACCTTTCGAATAAAGATTTGAAAATTATAACACTGTTTTAAAAATCCACTTAAAACTGGCAACTAACAGTGCTTAAGATGGAAAAGAGTTCATCTAAAAAAAAAATCGAAGGAAGTAAAACATAATATTTCCAGTGTTAGGGAATATCTAGCTGACACCACTAAAACAATAGCAGTTTAACAGTAACTCATCTACTTTTAAAACAAGCTTTTGTAGTTACTTTTTCCAGCAAATAGTGCAGAATGACAGTGGCTACATTTCATTTAGTTCATCTGCAATAGGCTACATAGTGTCAATCAGGCTAGCTACTTTTCAGTATTAACTTGCTACCTTTAAATTTACATTCCCACACTGATATTTTGTTAACCTGTCAAGCAAGGCTGGTAAAGTTGCTTTTAGCTAAAATAGACAAACTAGTAAAAAATGGAGACTAGCATCATTATAAAAGCTACAAAAGCAACGGCAAAACATCTCTGGTAGCTAACTGTACACTAATAGTTATATTAGAAGTTATACCTTAGTTTCAGTTTGATAGCATTTTAATACTTGGAAAATACTGTCATATTTGCGCCATTTTCAGATTTCTAAAAATAATTTTTTTAATAACACTTTTATTATTGTGACATAATGCTTTTTTGACAAAGGAAACCAGCCAAAAGCATCAAAGTAGAACACTAAACAGCCTATGAAAACATCAAAAACAGGCAAATTAATATTACAAAAAGATCAAAAACAAACATATCCAACAGGAAATTATTAAGAAAACTACATTTGTACCTCTTTATATGTTCATATGTAGCCGTGATTACACTTTTTTTTCTCAGTAACTGTAATGGATTACAGTTACTGTTTTGTACACTGTTGCTCACACTGTCAAATGTAGTACAACCCCTGGCAAAAAGTATGGAATCGCCACTCTTGGAAGATGTTCTTTCAAATGTTAAATTGTATAGAAAAAAAAACATACATTCCACAAAACTATTTTCATTTAAAAATCCAACCTTCTGGCTGTATGAAACATTATAAAAAATAAAAAAAAAGATTACTGTAGTCAGCTACAACTCTTTTTACAGACCAAACAATGGGATCACTCATATCTGAGGAAAATTATATTGAGTCAGCAAATAAAAACACCACTAGTACTTTGTTATAAGACTTTGAATTGTCTGATGCAAGGATTTAACAGTATTCTTCATCAATCTGTCTCCAACTTTGTTATATTGCAGTTGCATGGAGAATTTTCTTTCATTTCCACTATTTTCAATTAGATTGAGATCTGGACTATTTGCAGGCCATCCCATTAACATTATATGTCTTTCCTGTACAAAAGTTTTCACAGATTTTGACCTATGGCATTATCATCCTGAAAAAGTATGTCATCATCACCAAACATCCTTTCAACTGATGGAATAAGAACGGTGTCCTAAATATCAATGAACTGTAAACTTTTATGCTCTGCATTTTTAAAGGATTTAATGACTGTAATTTCTCCTATACCTTTACCTTACATACAACCCCATATCATTAATGATTGTGGAAATTTGCATGTTTTCATCAGGCAGTCATTTTCATAAATTGGAACAACACCAAACAAAAGTTCCAACATCATCACTCTGCCCAATACAGACTCATGATTCATCTCTGAATTTCACTCATATCCAGCCATTCACAATCCAAGATTGTCTTTCTTTAGCTCACTGAAACTTTGTTCTTTTCTGTTTAGATGTTAATCATGTTAATCCTATTTCTATTACGCAATTTCTTAGAGTCCGGTCAAAAACTTTATTCTTTGCTTTGTTGTGTATTTTTTTGTTTTTTTTTAAGTTTTCTGTCTTGATGCTTTGACATCTTCCTTCATCTACCAGTTCGCTTCACTTCTACAACCTTCCCATTTGATTTGTACTTGGTACAGATTTTAGACACAACTGATTGAGAACAACCAACATCTTTTGCATTATTCCATAAAGATGTACCTTTTTGAGAAGTTTGAAAACCCTCTTCTTTGTTTCAACTGACATCTCTCGTATTGGAGCCATGAGTAATTTCAATCATGGGTGCGTATCATAGTACGATGCATCATTTGGGAAAAGAACGATGTAGATGTCTGTCGCAGATCCATCCTTTAAAACACGTTAGTTATAATGTAAAACGTCCATTATGACGCTCTAATCAGGGTGGAGTAACTATTTATTTATTTTTTTTAGTAAAAAAAAACTTTTTTTGAGCTAGTTAAATTGTTTTACAAGCACACAAAACAATCAAATATTAGTTTTGGTAAAAACGTGCACTCATTTTCTACATTGAATTATATGCAAACGGCACATACAGGACCTCTACATGTTTGCTTTACAAATATTGAGTATTTCATATAAAATCACTAAGCCAACACGTATTCTAATCTCATATATAAATCTTATAGATCGCTTATGGTTGTAGGCCTATAATTTACAGTAGGCTTTTTATTAAGAAATTAAAAAAAATCATACTTAATAATAATAGTAATAATAATAGTTATTATTATTGAGTAGGATATTGTTTATTTGTTTTATTTTATTTTTCTGAAAAGTCTACTTTCACAATTTGACATATAAACCACTGGAGAAATGTTCTACGCAATAGGACCCTGTCATATCCACTTGCTAAGTGTGACGTCACACAAAGCGGCTTCCGAGTCCAAGCGCTCTGTCAAACTGAATGGGGAGACTCATTAAATGGTAATAATAAATGTTTACAAAGCGCTGTGTAACTTTCAAAAATCACGATCGCAATACATATATCCATGCCTATCCAAAACAGTATTCTATACGTCACGACTTAACAAGCGGATACAGATACATTTCTTGATAAATAATCTACTATAAACGCATTAACATATGCTATATATTTTGTTTTTACAAGCTTTGGAGACATAAATGACACTTTTAAATAATAGGTCACCCATAGCTTTCATCATGAGCCATGGCTGCGTTCAAAATAGCATAAATGTTTTCAAAGTGCACTACAAAGGGAACGCAATATGAAGATCACTAAAACTGAACTTTAAAAATACTTTCAAAGCAAATTACACCTAAGACAGATGACTAATGTTTTTTTATTAATCATTCCAAGTTTAAAAGTTGGAATGTTCAAAAGGAATAGGGCATAGGGGGGATAACTGGGAACAGAACACAACCCGGGACTATGTTTCTAACTACTGTTCCAGAGGTGTAGTTGTAAGCATACAAGTTTGCGACAGTTTGCTAATGTTTGTTGGAAAGACAGATTTGGGAAACGCCAAATCAACAAACTATGTTTGTAATGACGGAACTTACGACCTTAGTTGGCTAACGATGGCTTTCGGAAAAGCATCGCAGCTTGGTTCGCTCTTTTTTTTAAACTGCAGACTAATTAGCAGTTGTAATCAGACACAGTTGTTTGTTTTAAAACTGCAAAGTACATGGTGGTTCCATATAATTTTCATTAGATTTGTGTGTTTCTATTTTTTTTTTTCTATTGTTTGATCTGTAAAAACAGTTGTAAATGACTACAGTGTTCTTTCTTTTCTTTTTTTTTAAGCTTTTCATACAGCCAGAAGGTTGGATTATTAAATGAAAATAGTTTTGTGGCATACATGTGTTTGCTTTTTTTCTACACAATTAAACATTTGAATGAACATAATCCAAGAGTGGCAATTCCATACTTTTTGCCAGAGGTTGTATACTTTTTATCCCTGTGTGTTTGATTGTATACTTTGGGCTAACTGCACACAGGATGGGTCATAGCTCAACCAAGCAGCATCTTGTGAATGGTATTTCTAAAAACATCTTAATCAGTTGACCTTAATGGTCCAGTGCACAAAAGAGACGCCTTAATTTCACACCGTAGAAAATATTTCACATCCAGATTCCACGCTTTTCCTCATGTTTGTCTTCAAGCAGCATAGAGTTCTGACAGATTCAGACAGATGTCAGTGCACTTGGGCGATGTGCACCAGGGAGTACAGCGTCCCATCACTAGTCTTCGGTGAAGGCACCACAGCTCCATTTTGGCCAGAAGAAATCTCAGTGCGGTAGATATGCGCACGCCTTTTAAAGCATCCAAATCGGCTAGTCAGAATGAAAAAATCCCTTTTGAAGGTTTTAGTGAAGAAGGCATAGAGGAATGGGTTTGAGCAGGAATTGATGGGGTAAAATAACACCAGTAGAACTTTGGCGTGTGAAACGGTTATCAGTGGTAGTTTAAATGCTGCAGAAATGGCGAAAAATGAGATGGGCGCCATGCACAAGAAGTCGGTGAAGATGAGCACTGCCATGCGCTTGGCGATACGCATGTCTGCATTGGCAGGAACAAAAGCGGGATTACGGACGGTCAAGTAGATGAGTGTGTAGCAAACGCACACAACCAAAAAAGCAGCAGCGTTGAGTAGAAGCAACAGCACCACATAACCTTGTGAAAGCAACGTTTCTACATCCATTGGCAGGCAGATGCTGGTCTTGCTGTAGCTGCTCACTCCAAACATGGGCATCAAAGCAGTGAGAAGGGAGAAAAGCCAGCCTGTTGCCATCACTAGGCAAGCATGGCGTAGACGCATTTGGCGCTCGAGCTGCATGGCATAAGTGATGGTGTGCCAGCGCTCCAGGGTAATGGCGGTCAGAGTATAGACGGAGAGCTCGCTTGAGAAGACGGTGAAGAATCCTGCCACATGGCAGCCTGCTCCTGTTTGCCAGTCAATGCCATAGTTATAGTAGCGCGACTGTGTGTGAATGTCTACTGCAGCGATGAGCAACAGGTAGATTCCCATGCAAAGGTCGGCGAAAGCCAAGTGGCACATTAGAAACCTGGGAACGGTAAGTTTGTAGCGGCTGGTGAGGAGCACCAGAAGGACCACGGTATTGCCTACTATGGCTAGTACGCTGATGAACCAGATCAGAACACGCAGGAATGTGAAGCCCATGATGTCCTCGCAAGGGTTGAATGCGTCTGGGGTGGGGTAGCAGGTCACTTCTATTACGTCCTTACAGTGGTCGTTGAAAAAATTGAAAAAATCAGGTTCCTCGTGAGCTCCAGTCACGTTGCACATTTGATTCTTCACAGACCTGTGTGAACACAAGTAATATCTTGGTGTACAATCAAATTTCAGAAAAAAAGAAGAAGAATTTGTATTGGATTTAATACATTTTTGGCAGTGGAAATAAAATCTAATAGAAACTAGAGACTAGAGCATTTCGGCAAAATTGTATCCCATTTGGTAACACTTTACCAAATTTACTGTAAATACCATTTTTGACTATTAACTTGCTAATAATAATAAGTGGCTTATTACTTGCCTATTATTGGGACATTGGCTTATTAATTATACTTATAAAGTACATATTCAGCATGATATTGTTGCACAACCCCATTCCTACCCAATACCTACACCCAACTACACTATCTGACAAAATCCTGTTGTCGATCCCAGTTGTAAAAGCAACAAATACTAACTTGACTTTTAGTTAATTATGTGGAAAAGTGGCAGAAGATAGATTTTTCAGATGAATCATGTGTTGAACTGCATCCCAATCATCACAAATACTGCAGAAGACCTATTGGAACCCGCATAAACCCAAGACTCATAGAGAAATCAGTCAAGTTTGGGGGAGGAAAAATCATGGTTTGGGGTTACATTCAGTATGGGGGCATGCTAGAGATCTGCATAGTGGATGGCAACATCCACAGCCTGAGGTATCAAGACATTTGCGCTGCCCATTACATTACAAAGCACAGGAGAGGGCAAATTCTTCAGCAGGATAGCGCTCCTTCTCATACTATAGCCTCCATGTCAAAGTTCCTAAAAGCAAAGAAGGTCAAGGTGCTTCAGGATTGGCTAGCCCAGTCATCAGACATGAACATTATTAAGCATGTCTAGAGTAAGATGCAGGAGGCATTGAAGATGAATCCAAAGAATCTTGATGAACTCTGGGAATCCTGCTAGAACGCTTTCTTTGCCATTCCAGATGACTTTAATAATAAGTTATTTGAGTCATGGCAGAGATGTATGGATGCAGTCCTCCAAGCTCATATGAGCCATACACAATATTCATTATTTTTCTACTGCACAATGACTTTATATTCTATGCTGTACATTATTTCTGTTAAATGACAAGACTTTTGTGTAAGCAAAGTCAGTCCTTACTGTCCAAATTAAATAATTAAAAATGCATGATCATATTTATTTTGGTAAAATAATCATAATCTAGAAGCCTTTGCCCTTCATATAAGCCCCTTTTGATACCAAATGTTCAACTAGAGGTCAAGCTATTATTTGCTGTTCCTAAAACTTAAATGGGCGACAAGACTTTTGTAAGGTAGTGTACTACAATAATAACCATTAATAAGCAGGAAATTAGCAGCTTGATTGGGCTAAAAGTCACAGTTAATGCTTTGTTTATTCATTCAATCATTCATTCATTCATTCATTTTCCTTTGACTTAGTCCCTTATTTATCAGGGGTCACCACAGAGGAATAAACCACCAACTATTCTGGTATGTTTTACGCAGCAGATGCCCTTAAAGATGCAACCCAGCACTGGGAAACACCCATACACTCTCACATTACAGCCAATATAGTTCAATTAATCTATAGCTGCATGTCTTTAGATTGTGGGGGAAACCCATACTAACATGGGGAGAACATGCCAACTCCACACAAAAATGCCAACTGGCCTGGTCTGGCCTCATACTAGCGACCTTCTAATGCTTACCACTGAGCCACCATGTTGTCATAATGCCTCGTTAATAGTGACAATTGTAACAAAAAAGTGTAACAAAATATTTATTTCAGCTGCACTTTTTTTCACTTTTAGTTAATTTTTTTCAATGTATTTTCAGTACATTTGTATGGAAATGAGCATATGGTCTAATATCTCTTTTTGGAAGCCCAGCTGGTTGGGAATGAGACATGAGAGATGTGTGACTGACTTGTGCTTCTTGAAGTTTTTGAAGGCGCAGCAGTGGCTGGGGTAGGTCAGGTTAGCCTGCGTGAGCTCAGTAAACAGCTCCAGGCTGGGAAGCTTCCTCAGAGAGTAGACTGAAACGGCCATCAGAAGCTTAAGAGTCTTCAGCATGCTTTCCGGCAGAGTGTGAACAGCAGTTCTGGAGATATCCCTGTAATGACAGCAGCCGTTTCATTGTTCCATGCAGAATCTGGTGTGGGGCCTGTACAATAATGGTGGTTAAACCAACTCAGGGTTAAAGGTTTAGCTTAAAATAGACAAAACCAACCCAGTCAAATCAGGCTTTGAACGTACCATGACTCTGATCATTAACTAACTTTAATTGGGCTTTGATTCAGAAGTTACACAGCACTTGAACATGTGACATTAGTATAATGGGATACTGTGATTCATTTCTCATTGGAGAGTTGGCGTGATTCACTGGCACAGATGAAAAAATATGAATTTGAACATAGTTATACAGCAAGATGAAAAGAGCTGTTGATGAAAGGAAAACTAATGGAAAAGAACTTGCTTTATCATTTCAGTTTATATTGATTATATTTACAGAGAGAGACTCGTACAGTATGTAGTCATTTTGAATGCTTTATCTGTTGATTCTAAAACCTAATTATATTTCATCCGATCTGTATTTATGTTCGTTTAAACCAAACATTTAATTTTTCATTAAATAGATATTTCCCATGTGTAATGGATTAAGGATATTACAAATACGTTGATTACATTAATGTACATTAATTCCAAAAAAAAATTATTATCTCTAAAGGGGTCATGAACTGAGATCTCTGCTTTTCCGTGAGCTTTTTCATATAAGAGGTTATCTTACAAAAAAAGTGTCCTGTAAATTTCAGAGCAGTAAAGCATCACTGTTAGTGAAATAATAGCGTTTAATGACATCAAGCCCAGAAAACACCAGATTCATCATAGGTAGGTAAAATACCACTTACGGTGAAGAACATAACGTGATCTGACAGGAAAGTTGAATACACTCTCAGAGAAAAAAGCTGTACCTTTGTACTTTTTGTGCTTTTTAGGTACATTCGGGCACTAATATGCTCCTTTGAAGTACCACTGTGGACTCTTTGGGTACAAATATGTATCTTTTGAAAAGGTATTGCTCCAGTGACAGCTGTTTGCTATGCAGAACTGTTATTCAATGATAGCAGTGGGCATTTATTTATAGTATACATTTATAGCATACCTCAGTCCACTTAATAAAATATTGTAAAAAGCAGTTAACCCCTTAAAAATAGCTTTCATATGTAGTGACCTTTAAGTGGAGCAAGGGAAACACAGTGGTTGGCTTTATTGTGTCAAAGTTTATATGCAGCTAATGAGGTATATCCACACAGACTTTAAAAGCCCGCCCCAGGGTTTCTGGTGAACTGTCTTTCCATTAAAAAAATCGCCACATTTAAGGTTTGATTTCTTTAAAAATCAGTGATCTTCTCTGCTTGATATACAGTTTGAAGTGGGTCTCAGACTAGACAAAAAAGACTGCATTATATTCTATTTCCCGCCGTCAAGTCTTTAAAATATGACAATTTATTTTACCCCTGTATTGTCAATGGAGTTTCTGCACTAGCCTGCTGGTACTGACGGAGCAAGTGCTTACACTGTCTTTCATCTCGTTTTACGCTTGAACAACTAAATGAATGCAGTCTATTTAGCTGAATGTATTTTATTGACATTACAACATTGATGCTGTAAAACACAGGTGTCAAACTCAGGTCCAACCCGAATAAACACACCTGATGAAACTCATTAAGCCATTTAGGCTTTGTTTGAAACTTATGTACAAGGTAAGTGTGTTGGAGCAGGGTTGGAACTAAACTGGAACTAAACTAAATTGAAAACAGCCACATAGTCACCGGAAGTTTATTATTGGCTGAAAAACACTGTGCATATAGCCCATTGGTTAGAGCATTTCTCTTGTGTTGGGGTTTGGTTTTGTCAACACATGCTCAATGGAAATAGATGCTTCAGTCTACATTTTTGTGAAACTGAAAAATGTAAACACGTTTAGCCGCAGTTTCTAGGTAAAACAAACGCTACAGGGCAGTATGATGACAACAACTTTTGTTCCTTTTCACATCGATGATTTTTACATAATTTTCCCAGTTATTTGTACAAATCCAAAGAAATGCCAATTCCAAACAACGTGCATCTATGATTTCTAATCAAATACATTTGCCTCACCTATCTATATACATGGACAACAATTCTGGCAGTGTCGGTTTACTCAGTAACTCACTTTGTGTAGTATTGAACTTGTGATGTACAGCGCCCGAATTTGAGTCCAGTGAAGCACGGTTCCACAAACGAGGTAAAAGCAGTGTAATTTATTATTATTATTCATTCATTTTCTTGTCAGCTTAATCCCTTTATTAATCTGGGGTCGTCACAGCGGAATGAACCGCTGTGAAATGAATCCAGCAAGTTTTTACGCAGCAGATGCCCTTCCAGCCGCAACCCATCTCTGGGAAATTATTATAAATATTAATATAAATATTTTATTAAAACTATGTGGATAAAATGCAATTTTCTCTTCGGTTTGCTTTTAACAATCTAATTGGTTTGGTTTAGGTGAGAGTTTAGGTGATAAGCATTGCCTTCCCATATAACGTATAACAAATTGCACCCTAAGTAATTCACTGAAATTTAGACCGAACCTGCTTTGTCCAGTCATTTGAAACATGCAATAAACACTCATATCAAAACGTCTGAGTTTTGGACATATTTTGTAAAAATGTGCGTTGAGGCATTTCAAATAAGCCTGGGTTGGATTTTGTCTTGTTGTGGCAATTGTGTTGTACACTTATGTTTTCTTTCAAATTTTTGATGTGTTGTGCACAATTGGGTTGCCCTAGTTAGTTACTCACAGAGTGTAATTTGCTATAGAGATAAACACTGCTAAAAGCCAAACCACTTTTATGTTGAAGCAAACTAAACTTAAATTTACCCGACTAAGTTAAACCAGCTTCATGGTACAGGCCTCAGGTAGCAGAGGTTAGTGTGAGTGGAATTGCTGTGAGTGTGTGTGTGTTGATCCAGCTGGTGAGTTTGTATTGTTGTTGAAAGTCAGAGCTGTTCATGCTTACAGAACGACGGGGCCTTCGGCTCCTTTAAAGGCGTAACTGTGGATGTGATTCAGCTGCTGGTTTCCCATGAGAAAGCTGTGAGAAAGAGAGCCAAAGGGATTAGATGAAAGATTAGAGGTTTTATGTGATTTATAAATATATAAAAGATGTAACCACTCACAGTTTTCCAATTTTGGTACCATTGAATGCATGGCTGTCTATCTCACGAATCCCGTTCTTCGTTAATCTCCTGCAAGAGCACATTAGGTGAGATCAGTTAAAAAAATGGGCTTGGAAACATACTGCTCACCAAAGCTGTTTATTAAAGCAAAACTACAGCAAAGTTGGCAATACCTTTCAAATGTTACTATTTCAATTCAGTGTTTGGTTTTTTTAAAAGTTTCTTTAATAAATGGAAAGTTTAAAAGAACAGCGTTTAATTTAACTTCTCTCCAAGTAATAAGTGTCATTACTGTCACTTTTAAACAATTTAGCAGCGGTATTATATCCAGATACATTTGTGTTAATGGTCAATCTGATCTGCAATTTATGTAAATAAAAAAACCAAAATCACTCAAATCTAAAAATTATTTAAAATAATAAAAAAAGAAAATAAAAATAAAAGAAAAAGTGTTAGATATCACTATAAGACTTCATACTGTATATTCTACCATATTCGTTTTTATGGTGAACCAAAATAATCTTACATTTCATTTAAAGGTCCTGTAAAATTAAAATAAAGTTAGTTAGTACCAGTATGTTAGTCTTAAGGATATCCATAGGCTAGTGTGCTCCAACACAGAGAAAAAAAGTCCATTTAGAAGATATAAACATCCAGCATCTGATGATGTCTTTGAATTTCTGACTTCAGGCTGTAATTGACTGCAAATACTTGCAATCAAATATTAAAAAATTAATGTTGGATTTATGATTAATTTTCTGTCAAACTACTTTTGGACCCTTAACAAGTGGGAGGCACATTTGCAAACTGTTGTATTTCCAAAACCGTTCACCTGATTTGGATGTAAATACCTTCAAATTAAAGCTAACAGTCTGCAGTTAAAGCACATCTTGTTCAATAATTTGAAATCCATTGTATTGGTGTACACAACCAAAAATGTTAGAATTGTGTCAATGTCCCATTATTTATGAACCTAACTGTATGTAAGCGAGGTTATTGACAACATAAAAAAGTACAATAGTCTAACAACCCTATAATATTTTATAGTCAATATTCATTTTTTTAATTTAACATTAACCTCACTTAATGAGAATGGTGGGTAATGTTTATAACACAGGACTATTCTTGGTTTAATTTTGGAGGCTGCCACTTAAAGATTGTCCTCTATGATCAGTCGCCTTTATTTTTAATGTATGTGAGTGCTGTAAAGGTGTCAAAGTTTAACATTGTGCCATAAAATCAATCTGCTGCAACTAACACTATTGCTGTGTCAATAATCAAGCACAATAACCCCCGGGGTCACAATCCAATGGAAAAAGAATTGAAAGGCTGAGTGCTTTTTTTTTGCATGTTTTGTTTTATGTAACTATTAAATACTATTTTTTATCTTCTGCAGGTTATGGAATAAATATGGAAATTCTAACAGTTTATTAACAAACTGTTGAAGTCAGAATTATTAGCCCCCTGTTTATTTTTTTTCTCCTATTTCAGTTTAACGGAAATATTTTTTTTCAACACATTTCTAAACATAATAGTTTTAATGACTCATTTCTAATAACTGATTTATTTTATCTTTGCCATGAAGACAGTACATAATATTTTACTAGATATTTTTCAAGACACTAAAAATATAGCTTAAGGACTATAAAATGTTATTTTAAAAATGAAAAACTGCTTTTATTCTAGCTGAAATAAAACAAATAAGACTTTCTCCAGAAGAAAAATATTATTAGACATACTGTGAAAATGTCCTTGCTCTGTTAATCATCATTTGGGAAATATTTTTTAAAAAGTTCAAAGAGGGGTAATAATTCTGATATTAACTGTATATGATATTTTTGGAAATCTGAAAATATTTGAAAATGAACTCATGAGCTGTTAATCTATAATTATGTCATGACTTTACTTGGAGGCGCACATTATCATTAACTCATCATTAACTACTCATGAACTCCTGTATTTAAACTGCTGATGTTGACATTGACACAACACTTTTCTAATGTTATTCAGTGTAAACACACTAGATGGACGTCCATAAAGAGCCCATGAGTAGTTAAGAATGGGTTACTGATGATGTGCCCCACCAAGTAAAGTCATGGTATAATTATCCATTAACATATATCATGAGTTCATAATGGTTAAATTAATCATCAACTAATGTGGTAATTAATACATTAATTAACAAACAAGCAGGTACTAACAAGTGATTAAGGTAGCCGTTATTAACTCATGAACTCATGTCACTCACGTTGTAGTTAAAGTTAGTTCATGATAAGTGCATGGCTTAACTCATCATTAATTCTTAATATAGTTATTAGCTTAACAATTAGCTTATTTTTGTCATGCACCCCAGCAATAACTTTATTCAGTTTGCTGTAAATATAAGTATAGTGTGCATCATTCACTTTTCACAAAATAAAATACCTAATCCATGCCTACTTACAGCTCAGTTATGGTGGCGTTGGTCAATCCGAGGAAAGCATTACTGGGAATCCTCTCTATGTGCATGTTATCTTGTAGATCACTGTATTATAGATATGATAAAGAGCACATTTTACATTAATCAACCTTACGACAGTATAAATATATACATACTTTCAGATAGAAATATCCAATAAGATATTGACTTAAATGAAAATTACAATAGAAATTCAAGAGCAGCAGAGTTGATCTTGGAGAAATCTGGCAGGATTTTAAGACCAGTATTTGAGATAGTCCTGGAGGAACACACACGCACACACACACACCACACACACAGGGAGACAAGATTGATGAATGCAATACGTCAGAAAGACATTCGTATTTTGTCTTTGCATCTGCAGCCTTTGTTTCCTGTGAGAAACATTTGATCTGGATATTGACCTGTGTTTGGGTCATTCTGCTTTTACTGAGGTCTTTCAGGACTCTTAACATAACTCAATGCTAGGCTGAAACTCATGTGGGAATATACTCCCTTTAAACTGCTGAACCACAGCATGAAACCCTGATTATTCAGAGTTTACTAGACAAGAGTAATGAAAACTCACAGATATCGCAGCTTTGGAAGTCTCCAGAAGGCATCTTTATGCATCACAAGATTTTTGGACTTTGTAATAGTTCTGTCAGAAAGATGCATTGAAGGTTTATTTTGAAGGTTTGTTTTAGACATTCAAACTCATATTAGAGTATTAGCAGACTAATTCTACATGTAGTTGCAATGTTACTTGTAGACTGTCTGCTGGAGGACTATCTGAAAAAATGTGTTAGCAGATATGAAGCAGACAGTATATTATTTACTACAAATATTTGATTACATTTTTCACATATTATACTATTTTTAAAAGCTAAATAAAGCATGTTGCTAAGAATACAGCTGGATTTATTTTGAAGTGTCGTGCAGCTACATACATTTCCTCCAGTTCTGTCAGGTTGAAGAAGGCTAAGGCTTCGATTCGCTCGAGAGCCCCGTTCTCGGACACCACTCTGAGGAGAAAAATAATCATAAAACCAAAAAATATGATGTATAAAGCTTTAGAAAACTGTTTGCAATATAACAATTGATATATAAATCTTAATCGCCATGATGCAAAATGCACTATTTGCTAGACTAAGGTGTATCAAGGAAAATCAAATCACTATGCTGATTTAATGAACAAAATGGAGTTGTGCTAGATTTTAATGGTTCTTTTTATGCTTACTTTGATTTTGAAGTAACTTCGCAATTGCATGTCAACTAGTATTTTAATAAATAGGATTTAAAATATGTATTTAGCAATTTTCTGATTCAAAAATAAACAAGGTTGTTTGTAAACATATACATTAAGTAATATTATTTTATATAGAGCTTAAGAAAAATGTTTTAATTTAATTCTGTTTTGATTGTAAGATTTTCAAAATACATAGCTATTCTCACTTGAATCAATTCAAAGTTTATTTTTTAATAGCAGGTGATGCTCTTTTCAACCATGCACTTAAATGGAAAGGAAGTGCGTTTGGCTGAGTAAATTGTCTTTTATATCACGAGATGAATGTAAACTAGCCCACTTTGAACACATTTGTAATTTCCCAAATCTTTCCTAACTTTATTAATGATTTTTTTAGATTCAAGTGGTATATGTAAGGATCTCTGTCAGCAGGTGGTGGTTTTAGGTCAGCATGAATAGCAGCATTTCCTTTCTACTGTAAACAAATTCTCTGTGTTGGTGATATGCCACAACAGAGAACTTCTAAGAAAGAAATTGTATCTATAATCTCTCTGTAATCTGAAGAGAACAGGTTTCCCTTATAGACACATCATCTTCAAGTATCATGATCAGCGCTGGTACTGTTGTATGGATAAATCAGCATTGCTGTTAAATGGGACGAGGCAAGTCCTGTATGGGACAAATCAAATGGGCCCAATATACATGATGTCTCAGCCAATACTGGATGGTTGGCAACCCTAATTGTAGAGACCTTCATAAGAAAATATTGCCAGGTTTAAACCAGAAGTTGGCTGTGCTGAGGACAAAATCAGTGGGAAATCTAAATGTAATATTTTTTTTGCTTGCACATATTGTTATTATTTTGGTCAGGGGTGCTCAAACTTTTTCTAATAAAGGACCAAAAACCAAACTTGATTGAGGTCTGTGGGCCAAATACATATAATTTTTTAACATTTTATAACAAACTTATTACAGTAAAAACACACCATACATTTTATAACACAATAGTGGAGTTTAATGATGAATACCCTTGTTGAGCTGCTCCTGCTTTTACCTTGATTTGCTTGCAGATGACTTGTGCATTGTCCTCTATCTGTCAAGTGACAGTATTTACATTTTAAAAATCTAATTTATTTACAACTTTTAACTCAATCATTTAATTTCAGTTTGGCTTTGTTTGTAGCTCAACAATAACACAAAGAAACAAAAGGTTGCATTAAATCTGAAATGATGATTTTTGTCAAAGGCATTCGCCCCAACCAATTCACCATCATTCTTGTTCTCTTTTCAGATGGGATGGTGGGCCAAATCAAACGTTTGGCCCATGGGCCCTACTTTGGGCATCTCTGCTCTGCTTCTGCTATTTAATCCACAGAGTTTTCTTTTGTTTTGGTAATCTTCAGTCATAGTCTGACCATTTACTTCGATGTCAGGAGTGACAATTTTTCTATAATAATGTAAGTTTGACAACTTCAGCCACAATATTCTTAACCCCGCCCCTCTTACTGTGTTTGCAAGAAGGGAATGATCCGTAAAAAGAAAATTCCGTTACACTTGGAAGTACATCAACACACTGCAATGTCTGGTTCATGAAGAATTTAAATATTTGTTATGATGGTTCTAATAGTTTTAGCTTGGACAGGCTTCTGAACTTCCAGTATAAGACTGCTGGCCTGAAGCTGCTGTTCTGAAACTGCGGTCAGTATGGTTCTGCATTTTGACATATCCTGCATACACACCTAAAGATGTCACAGATAGCATGCAATCTTTTATTTAGTTCTCTTTAGATTTGTTGTGCTTTAAATGTTACACACAAACAAAATTATGTAAATGTTTGCCAATGTGCCCGAATATCAAAGTAAACACTTAAAGGTGCTGTATGTAAGTTTTTGACTCTTCTGAAGCATAAAAATACCATAATATGATTGCAGATATTTAGGAAACATGCCAAGTGAACATTTTTGCTTATCTGAAAAACAATGCTGAAGTCAGTTTTCTGCATTAAAAATGTGCATTATGTGCTGGAACGTCTTTGTTTTGGTTCTTTTAACCCGCCCAATGCCACTTTAGCCAATTATATTTCAGAACCTGGCGTTGCCTTGGTGGAAAACAGTGTATTTCATTCATTCATTCATTCATTCATTCAGAAAGGCTCTCAAAGCATGTGTCCGTGACCGAAATGTGGCCTCCGGTGGACAGTAGCAGTCTCCGAAATGAGAAGCAGATTCAAAGTTTCCCTTTATTTAGCAATTTATTAATGAGCAAATAATATAAATACTATGAACGTAAAAACCATTTTAAGACATTCAAGCAAAGAATATGCACAAAAGGGTAAGGTTTAGGATCTAATTAATACATATTAAACCTCTTTACTATTATGGTGTGCTTGAGGTGATCATGTCATCAAGTTCTCTTTTGTTCAGCTGCAAAAAATAGAAGCCGTTTCTAAAATATAAATTCCACGTGTTGGTTAGGACCTTTTAATATGGAAAATATTCCTTATGCGTGCCCTTGCTTTTATTTAGAACACGATTGATCCAGAAATGCAATACAAGTTCAACCACTGGGTGCCAAACTTGGGTTACATGATATACTGTATTACTGTCTTAAAGTGACAGTATCACTGTTCATTTCTTTACTTGTTTGGTTGTTGTAATTCAATGTATACTTGGTCAGAAATATGGACAAACCTAATTGTTGGGTTCAAAAGTATCATTCAATTTGAACGAATTAAAAGAAATTATCAAAATGGTACTTTTGTGCAGTTAGTTTGTGGAATTTGAAAGCTATTCTGACATTCTGTCTGGTTCATTTTTAGTCGAGGTCAGACTCTATGTGTTGTCAAGTAAATGCAAAAACTCTCAGAGCTGCTCAATAGTTGAATAAGGTATAATTCTAATTGAATCGTTCAGTTTTCAACTTCTCTTAACCCCTAAATGAAAACCAAAAAAATAAAAAATAAAATAACTGTACAGTATGGACATCAGGGCTTTCAGTAAAATAATTTGACTTGCAATTGCATAACATTTTATAGTCAATAAATGTCTAAAAGAGAACATGAAACTGAAGTATTATCTAAAATAGGAAGCATTTAAAATATAATGACCTTCTACTAATATAGATATACATTTGTCAAATTGTCCCTTAGGTTTTGTAGTATTTTCCTGTGATACATATCTCAGTGTTTGGGTCACTGTTAAACATCATGTTCCATATCAAAGTCTAAACAAATTCGATCAAGACTAAATATCATGTGTTTATATGCACTTTTGGATTAAGTCAAAACTTTAGCAACAGCAAATGACAGATTTGAGCATTCAGCGGCAGTTCTCTGTTTTATGAATGCTTGGTTGAATGTTTTTCTTTCAGTAGCTTATATTCACTTTCATGTTTTCATAGTAAACAACTCAGTGTCCTTCGTTTTTTTAAAAATTTACACTTACATTCTCTTCAGCTCGTGTAGTTCAGACAGGGCTGCTCGGCGAAACACGCTGATCTGAGTCAGTTTGATCTCCCTGCGTAAAATTAGATAGAAGAGATGTGATTCATCATCCAGCAATTCATTTTCTCCAGTGTGTTACAGTTATAAATATCACAGCCTGTTCAGAGGTGAATACTGTATTATGAGCAAATTACACAGAAAAAGCTGGCATGGCTGTTTCAGGTGTGACTGATTCATTTTGCATTTATCAGATCGCCATTTTGACTCCAAAACTTAATTTACACTTTGTAATAACATGCATTTTTGTCAGTTTGATCACAAGCACACAATGCTACATACTGTTGAAATTATTATTATTAGCCACCTGTGAATTTTTTTTTCTTTTTAAAATATTTCCAAAATAATGTTAAACAGAGCAATAAGTTTTTCACAGTTTTCCTATAATATTTTTTCTTCTTCTGAAGAGTCTAATTTGTTTTATTTCAGCTAGAATAAAAGGAGTTTTAAATTTTTTATGACCATTTTAAGGTCAATATCATTAGCCCTTTTTAACAATATATTTTTTGATTGTCTACAGAACAAATCATCGTTATGATTTCCCTAATTACCCTAACGTGCCTAATTAGCCTAGTTATAAGCCTTTAAATTGCACTTTAAGCTGAATATATCTTGAAAATATCTAGTAAAATATTGTGTACTGTTGTCAGGATTCATGGCAAAGAAAATAAATTAGTTTTTAGAAATTCATACTATTATGTTAAGATATGTATTGAAAAAATTCTTCTTTGCTTAAACAAAAATTGGGGAAAAATATAAAGGGGGGGGGGGGGGGGGGGGTTAATAATTCCGAAGGGTTAATAATTCTGACTTCAACTGTATACAGATATACAGCAAATGTGGTATAATTCACTAAATAACTTTCTATGTCAGCAGGTATAAATATGTTATATTCCACATTCTAAGGGTGTACTCACACTAGACACGTTGTCTTGAGCTAGGCCCAGGCGCGATTGTCCCAAGTTTTTGCTTTCTGAGCCTGAGCACGCTTACATCATTGATGATGTGTCTGTTCAGTTCAACAGAAGAGAAGCGCTCTCGCTCTGTACAATGGAAATTGCTTTAGTTATATTGTTTTGTATTATTTAAAGTCGTTTGACAAGCAGTAGCATGCAGTTAAATCTTTTGCTGAACAGATCCATCATTTTTGACATGCATAAATGTTCCTGAAAGGCATTGTACAGCACGTATTAGGAGGTTTGCTGAAGGTGGCAGCTGTAGTGCAGTGAAGGGTTTGCATCTTTGATAAACTGTTCATTAAAAAGTAAGAATGAATAATGGATCCATATGAAACAGTCCCTTAAAGTGACGTTGGGTCTTCAGGTTCAACCTCAGGTGCGATTTACGCTCACACTACAAGCGTACCGCAGCAAAGCTCAACCGAACCACACTCTGGCACACATGTTTCAATTGGGCCAGTCAACTGAACCACACCTAGGCCCAATTCGTAGCACTCACACTTGTCAAACGAGCTAGAAAATGGGGGTCAAACAAGCCTGTGCACAGTTCAGATAGCCTAGTGTGAGTAGTAGACCCACAACATTAGAGTAAACATTTGAGTTAAAGTTCATATGAAATATTTCTTCAGTAGAACTATCCACCCAAAATGTGCTACAGCAGCAAAGATGATGCTTGGCCATTTATTTGTGTAATTTAAACATTGTTATGTACCCTATTCAGAGTGTAATATACAAATAAATAGATTTATACGGTCAAAAATGTTATACAAGGCTCATAAAAAATAAAACACAGCTCATACAATTGTATAACTGATACACTGTACTCAACTCATCCAGTTGTAACTTATATATTAACTATATATTCGTTTCACAAGCATCTGACAGCCTGAACTAAATATGATTTTCATTTACAATAATAAATCCTAAAATTCCAGCAGCACCATGGCTCAGTGCTTAGCACTGCTGTCTCACAGCAAGAATGTCACCGGTTTGAGTCCTGACAGGGCCAGTTAGCATTTCTGTGTGGAGTTTGCATGTTTCCTCATGGGTTTCCTCCGGGTGCTCCGGATTCCGGATTTCACTCTGATTGGCAGCATGTTCAATTCGGAAAGGGTTTTCATGATATATCCCTTTGAAGTGTTTAAATTCCAGAATGACAGCTTCAAAAGGGGTTCAGGCATATGGATGAGCCCTCATGAATGTAAAGAACTGTTTTGACACCAAACAACATAGTTTCATGGGGGCCCGAAGTGTCAATGAATTGTACTCTTTGAAATCCTTCATTTCAAAGGGAAGTGGACAGTTTGGAGTTCTACAGTTTGAAGTGACAGTTCAATATAGTGGCTATGACAGATTTTATTCTGAAGTGCGCATCAGAGGGCAGATATATGCCATTTGAAATGCACTATTTGAATTAGGGCTGTTCAATATGATGATATATATTATGTGTACAAAAAAAAATGTCTATTGTTTCATATTATGCCATAAAGTTTTTTTTTCGTGGTGTCATAAATAACATCATTTAAGTTATATATATTTTTAAATAATATATTACTTGCTATTAATAAGATGCAGACTGAAACATGAATAACAGCATTGTGAAAACATTGCTATCTTGAAAGTACTATATTCACATCATGCATTTTCATTCAATCATTTTCTTTTCGACTTAGTCCCTTTATTGATCAGGGGTCGCCACAGCGGAATGAACCACCAACTTATCTAGCATATGTTTTATGAAGCAGATGCCCTTCCAGCCGCAACCCAGTAATTTAAAATGTAAAAAAGAAATAGTCTTTTATATGTCGTCAATATAAACTATAAATGTATTGAATTAATACAGAATCAAAACAGAAATGGTGCTATATTGTGATGTATAACATTATCAGGACGACTTATATTGTGATAAGACCTTTATGTCATATTGCTCAGCCATAATTTGAATACGTGAATTTCTAACTAGAGATACACTTTGGCAAGATCATTTAACTTCATGAATTACTAACTAATTCACTCTGATCAGATTAAATGAATTAGTGAATCTTTAACAAGAGACTCACACTGACCAGATCATGGCTGTTTCTCAATATGCGTTCTTCAGCGATCTTGCGTCCTTGTGTAACGTCTTCATCAGCTGCCATAGTTCTGTTCCAAAACTTAAGACCGCAAGAACAGATGACATGTTAAACTTCCCGGATGTGTTCTTGGTATCGACGACGCACCGATGCAGAACTCGCTCTAGTCCCAGAAGTCATTGCGACTGAAGATGGGAAACGCAACACAGATTTATTATTATTATCTCAGGACTTTCCCTAAATGAAACAGTGAATATATACATTACCGTGAAAATCTTAATAAAGGAATAAACATTGAGTGTTTATTTGCTGACATTTAAAATCTGTTATATTTATATTGTGCAACTTATATTTGTGAGGTCTCTATGCAGAGTGTATATTTAAAAAAAGGGGTAAAACAATAAATCGTTCTATGAACGCTGTAATGTTTAAATAATTTTTCATTAAAAACGCGTGAAGCATCTTATTTCTCACAGGACGCGTTCTCTGTCTCCCGAGTTCGTTCTTCCGAGGACACCGTTCAAAACTGGTCTTCACAAGAAAGTCTTTTCTCTGCATTCTTGGAATTGAGAAACAGCCCATATGAATTAGGGAATCATTAACTAGAGACTCACACTGACTGGATAATTGGAATCATTTAACTGTTTACTGAAGGCTTAAGCTGCGTCCCAAATCGCATACTTATGCACTATTCTACGCCATTTTGTAGTATAAATAGTGTAAGTAGTGTGTTCACACTGAAAACTCTTAAAATAATAAGTGCACTTTAATTACCCGGATGATGCACTCATTCAGCCGCTAAAAAGAAGTGTGTAATGATGGACACTTCACGCACTCAACGACCGCAGGTTTGTTTACGTAGCGGAAGGGGCGGAGCTATCGGACGCACATGTTGGATAACTTTATTTATTTTGGATGGAGAAAGCAAATTTCTCCTACGAGAGTGATTATATCGCCTCCCGATGGTGAATGCGGCAATACTCACGATAGGTATTATTTGATAATTCGGTCGTTTATTTCACTGATTTAGCGACCGTCAAACGTCATCAGGGAAACGGTTTGAATTTCCGTTTATTAAAAAAACATTAGTGTGCCATTTAGGACAACACTACATACATGTACTATCCTGTTGAGTGTGTAAGTGTAAGCTACACTCTGGACTGGATCATTTGAATCGTTAACTACAGGCTCACTTTGGCCGGATATTTTGAATCAGTGAATCATTAGGTTCGTTCGACTTGAACCATGGCTGCAGCCGGTGATCAACCAAATTAGACGAGTGTAGGTGGGGGCGGAGTTAAAAAACGAAGCCATCAAGCCGGACACTTCGGGACTCAAAGTTGCGGCAGTTATGATGATCAATCACATGGCGTGACATTTAATTAATTATTTAATTATTAAAATAACAACAAAAGATATATAGTATAAATAAACCAATAATTAAAGTAAAATATTTTAGAATCATATATTTTATATTTAATAAAAAATTTTTTAAACTTATTTGTTAAGAAATCTTTATAGGGGTGTCAGGATCAATGATGATAATTATTTTATTACAATATGAGACTTAATTGAGTTAATATTTAGGGTACTAAAAATATATCATTTAAATAATTGATGGATCTGAATACAGTAGTCTGTATGCCTATAAAAAGGCAGAATAAATCTATGCAAACAATCTAGTCATTATGAACAAATTATTTAACAAAAGATGATATGGCAGTAAAATATTTGTACTCTTTTAATAAGCATGATGTGTACAAGATAGAGATGCCATCAAAAGTAATTGTTTGTTTTGAAATTTGTGAGATGGAATTTGTCCAATAATAAAAGCGAAAAGCATGTTGTTGTTGTTATGTGGTGAACTCGGCCAATCGTGTAATATCAGTGTCGTCATCGCAGCTTCCGCAGTCGCTCTTCAGATGCTGCACCGGCTGAATAAATTGTCTGATCTCGGAGCTCTGTCGCGGTGCTTTGATTCC